TGCCATTGTTCTAGATTGTACCATATCTTATGATTGATGAATTATTAAGCAAGAAAATGTTCCATTTTAAAAAGTCTGATCTTTACCATTCTAGGAGAGAAAAAAACTTTTTCCTGGCCCTCTAGAGTCTGAAAATTAAACTGACAAAGACAGAAAAATGGGAAAAGAGCATACAAATTTATCTAAAGGACATTTTACATGACATGGGAGGCTTCATAAGGAAATGAAGCCTCCAAGAAACAGTCAAGATTGAGCATATTTACACTGGGTTTGATGAAGAAGGGAAAGTCATGGGAAAATGTGGTAAATCAACAGGATGGCAGTTAATGGTAATGAGGTGGGGAAACTGGTGAGGGTCTGTTGGTTAGGATGTCCCTCAGCAAAAGGAGGACACCTCCTACATGGTGTCCCCTTGCAAAAGGAGGACACCTCCTACATGGTGGGCTTTCTGGAGATCAGAGGGTCCCTCTTGGATCTACCATCTCTTAAATATCTTTAGCATAAAAAATTCTCTATGCCAGGGTGCCTTATTTTGGGTAACCTGTTGTTAGCTTACTCATCATGAGTGTAACTTAGTGAGAAAGCAACCAGTAAAATTGGTCCATGAGTGTTGGTTGGTTGAACTGATAAATTTGAAATATTTCATTTCCATAATCATATATCATGGGCAACTAAATAGGGTGAGCAATTAAAAATTAAATATTCATTTTACATATTGACAATGTATTCCATAAATAATGAAGGTGAACCATATAGGCATTTAGGGCATATTTGTGGGAAGCAGAGGGTTTGAATTTACTTGAAGATTGACACTACCTTCTCTGAGTTAACTGGAGAGAGAGGTGAAATATAGCCAGCCTCATATGTACATATGTATATATGCTATTTGACAGAAGTCATGGTAACCTCACAAATACATGAAATTGCTTTGTCCACATTCACTCACTGATCCCTTACTTCTAAATCTAATGGGTAGTTCTCAGGTTTTATCTTACTGATCTTTTTTCTTCCTCTTCCCACGGCCTCCTTTACATTCTCTCTCTACCCTTGGATTTGTCTTAATATCTACATTAAGTATGTGTTTCTCCTGGCAAGTGCTTCCCCCAAGGCCTAATACCTTCTCTCTCTTCATTGCCTTGCTGTGGTAGAAGAAGAATCCTAACCCAGGGATTGGATTCCACAGCTGCGAGCTTCTCCCTTGCCCACACTGTCATTTCCAGCAGTTTCCTTAAAAGATTTGTGTCATCTCTGTGCCTTTTCCAAGAACTCTTTCCTCTCCCCTCTCAGCAGTTGCCTTACCCCATTCAGTCCAGAGGGTCCTTCTGCTCCCTGCCATCTGTCTGCCCCTTAACCTGCACATACCTGAGCATGCTCAAGTGACCCGTGCTTGGGACAGGTCCTTTTGCACCTTTTGTCTTTCTCAGTGCTGGTGACAATCCTGACAGAGAAAGCATACTCAGAAACATCTTCTCGGGGGTAGACAGACACAGACAATGGAGTCACAAGTCCTCTGGGATGCCAATACAGGCCAGGCACCAGGGCAGGGACAATAAGTGATGAAACTAGCCCAGTTTTCCATCCTGGGAGAACCCAGCTAACAAACATGCATGTGTGTTTGCTATCTTTTGGGGGTACCATCAGATTGAATTTTTCAACCATCGGCAACAATCTCCAGACTTAGCATCAAACATATTATGTATGCATTCCTAAGAAAACATAGTACTGAAGAAAGCAATGCCTGCAGTATTGGCATAGCTAAGCAAGAATTCTTTCAAAATATCTCCTCCCCCACCCATTGGGAAACCTGTTTTGAAAGATTTTTATCCAACTACATTCCGGGCATTTATTAAGAAACATCCATTTGATCTATTTATAATATCTCCATTTTGTCATTTGACTCAGATTTTAATGAATGATTTAGAATTTTTTAGAGCTCAAAATAGTGAAGTGGGGGTGCATTACAGTGAAGTGGGGGCACCCCTCAGCATGGTGCTCACCCTGCTAAGGCCTGGATGTTGTTGGTTCATTCACTGTGTGACCCCAAAGGGCTTGGGCGTGTCCTGGTGATGCTGTTAGCTCCTGCTTTTGGAGCTTAGTCATAGACAAGAAATCCCAGTAAATCATTAGTGATTTGCTTCCTCTAATGTTTGGTTTTCTTGGGGGTAGAAGTAAGAGAAGGTGTGATTAGCTCTGTTCCAAGTCAGAGTATCAACCAGTGTCTGTGCAATGAATAGAAGAGTGAATGTTTCACTATAACCACCAAGGTGGAACATCTAACCCCACACGAATCCAAATTTCACACTTGATTCAGATAAGGAATCTTACCTGAAATTGAAGTTCTTTTTAGTAAACTATGAACAATTCCCCACTACAATTTTTGAGATATCAAAATAGCATTCAAAACTACATACTCTCCCCACCTGACATGAATCCCAGGAACTGAGGCTTGTCTTCTCTGTGGGATGGTATAAAACAGTCCTGGGAATCAGTTCCAGATGTTTCCAAGATCCCCCAATTTTTGTAAAATATCTCAGCTTTTCTCTATTGGCAATACAAACCTATAATCAAAGGTCTTTGTATCATGTTGTTTTTCCACATACTGATACTATAACAAATCCCTTAACGATGCTGGATTTCAAAAAAGTGGATGAGATATATCAACGGGCTCTTAGAAACTAAAGAAAGGAAGGATGTAATCCTACAGTTCTTTGTTTGGAAGTCTTTAAATTCAAGCTCTAAATTCAAGTTCAGAATATTTTGTCCTTTTAATAGTACAAGCTCCTTTTGGAATACATTACTGGAATATTTTAATAAAATATGTTTTAACTGAGTCTTCTGTTTGCTACAGGCCATTTCAGAGAAAAGGGCCTCCCTGGTGGCAACAAGGGGTTAAGACGCAGCCTATGAAGCTATCCACAGCCACCGCAGCATGAGTTTGATCTCCAGCCAGGGAGCTACCCATATGGTGCAGCTGACCTCTCCTGACTTGCCCGCTGCTCCCCTCAGCAGTGTATTTCAGTCAATCTGCCTGTTCTGCTCCCCACTCTGTCTCTGGTGAGTCCTCTCACCCCCACACCTCTGGCCTGTACCCTAATTCTTGTATGCATAAATTAATAATTTTTTTTTTTAAAGAAAAGGATAAAATTGGGCAGTGTGGTTAACTGCTAATAATTTATGTTTGGGGAAGGGGCATTGTAACATTGTAGCTTAAAAGGAAGCGATTTCCTTCACCAAAGGGGAAACAATGGATTGGGGAGAGCAAAGAAGCTCTCCCTGCGCAGGCTCTTCTCTCTGCTCCTAAGGGTGTGTGTGGTCAAATCTGCCTTATCCCCAGTGTAGTTTATGAAGATCAGCCAAATAAAAAAGACTGAGATGCAAACATATGTCCAGCCCCAATGTCACAAGACAAGATGGACAAGATGCTCCCCCACTTTGAGGGGGAGCAAAGGTGGACAAGTCTCAGGTGAAAAATAGAGCAAAGTCTGGCCTGTCCTGACCTATAATACAAACAGCAAGACAGGACTCGATATAGAAAGTGCTGAAACTTGGTGGTTGTTTACAGAGAACTTTTTCTAAATAACAAACTCGGAGGAAGGGAGTGTTAAGCGACATTTGCACCGAGTGTAGGAGGCTCCCTCTGTACTCCCAGCCAGGACACAGCTGCAGGCAGTGGGGGACAAACCCCGAACAAACCCTCACCCCAGTCAAACCTTCAGTGGGTTGGCAAGGGTTTAGCTTGAGGGCTTTCTCCACTGGTGTGAAGTGCTCAGGCCATAGGTGATGTCCTGCTTTGACCACTCAAAGCCCTGCCCCAGTGTAGGGTGACAAGCTTCACAGGCCTGATCCCAATATAGTCACAGCTCCACCAGCAGGGAGGGCTGACAAACCTCAACCAGAGTCAGGAGTCTGGTTGCCAAGTGATGTTTCTTAGGACAGAAATATGAGCAGATTCACAAAATTCTATTTCTCTGACAGTTGGGAAAAGCCATTGTTGCTTCAGCCCTGACCACCCAACAAAGTCCCACAATTTACTGAACCCCTCTGCCCTGCAGGTGGCCCACAGCCCTCATAGGTGGCGGACGGGCACGGTGTGTGCAGGAGCAGCTGGCCTGGCCCTGGCATCACTTCAGTTTGCATGAAGGGGTAGCACTTGGCCCCCTGGAGGGAACGACACCCAACGCTGCTGCCTGAAGCAAAGTTACTGGCTTCTCAGGGCCCTCCCAGCACAGAGCCCCCCAAACGCATGGGCTGGGGCATGGATGCATTGGCTCAGCTGCAACCTGGTGCTGTTTAGAGCCAGCACCATCTCTGAAGCATAGAAATGAACCTGGTCCCTCTGTCCAGCAGCAGATTCAGATTGTTCTCACAACTGTGGCCAGCACCCCCTTGATGAGGCTTTTTATGTTCTAACCGACCCCGGGCTGCTATGAATGGCCTAACCGTTTGTGAATGATTCGAACTTGGAAAGCTGCAGGCTGTGTCCAGTTGAAACCAAGCTGCAACCAATCACCCATCCAGGTGGCCACTTTCAAAGCTTGGGCACCCAGTGAAGGGCAGTTTCTGATGCAGGGGCTGCTACAACACACCATGCTTGGCATTTGGTCTTTGGCTGAGGTGGCCACTTGACCAGGCTTCTTCTGCTCCCAGAAGACTGACATCACTGCATCTATGACCTTCCTTGGGGCCCTCGGTGGTGCTTCTCCACTGCCAACAGGCTTTCAGATCATGGCAGTTGTTCTCATCTGGGGCAATTTTGTCTCTTGGGGAGCATTTGGCTTCGTCTACAGTAATTTTGCAGTTTCAGGTGGGGGAGAGCTGCACCAGGCATGTAGAGGATGAAGGCGAGGGCTGCTGATAAGCATCCTATAGTGCACAAGGTCTGTCCCTTTCCCCCAGAAAATCACTATCTGGCCCCAAATGAGATCAAGAAACTGGCTAACAGTGCTGGTCCTGTCTGATTCGCCAACTCCCACTAGCTCATTATGGCCCTTGAAACTAACCTGTATTATGTTTCAAGTTTTCTTATCTGATAATGGTGTCTCTGGTCACAAGGCTCATCTGTCAGAGGGTCCATCTTGCTGCTTGGGGCCTGTCAAGAGTAACCTTCATTAAAATCTGTAGCAGACAAATCAAATGGTCCTGGTCTTCTCATCTGCTGGTCAAAATAATCAGAATGCTGACAGAAAGACATTCTGATATAAAATTTGAGTTTCGGAAAGAACATTTTGGGATGAGGCATGGAATATAGATAACAATTTAGGTTTCCCCATGCAACTCCCTCCACCTCCAACTTCCCTCTAAACACACAAGGCATAAACCATCAATGACAGAAGCTAGGTTCAGAAATGCCTTTAAGAACCCAAGAAATAAAGATTTGCTGCGTAATAGTTTGGGGGCACAGTCTCTGAGAGTTATTCCCAAATCATAGCACATGGGTTTTCCTAGTAAGCCAGCTGGACTGCACTTGCATCAGAATTGTTGATAGAAATGTTTCTATTTTTGAAAGTGTTTTGTTTAGAGGACAATGGAGCCTTTTGAAGCTGACTCATAAATATATGAGGTCTATATTGATACAAACAGAATTAGCATCAATATAACCCTCCAACCCACTGTTGGCAGGAAGAGGAATTAGAGAAGGAAGGATAAAGGAGAGTGAGAGAAAGGAGAAAGGAAATCCAGTTTCCATGTAAGAAAGGGGTGGAGACTATCCCTTGTGGTGGGATCGATGCTGTAGATTTGGATATCCTTTCTCACTTTCCATTAATTTATTTTGTTATTCCATCTTCTCCATGATTCACTTTAAGGCTTAGCATTATATGGTTCCAGCAAAAATGTACTTGTTTTTAGGGCCTCCCCTGGTGGTGCAGTGGTTGAGCGCTGGGCTGCAAAGCTGCCAGCAGCCTCTGCAGCGCTGGTTCGATCCCCAGCCGCCGGCAAGGGTCCCACATGGCGCGCAGACCTCTCCTGTCACACCCGCTGCTCCCCTCAACAGTGTATTTTGTCAGTCTGCCTGTTCTTCTCCCTGCTCTGGCTCTGGTGAATTCTCTCACCCTCCCACACATCTGACTGTACCCAGTGCTCATATAAATAAATAAATAAATCTTTTTAAAAAAATGTACTTGTTTTTAGAACAGAAGGAGAGCAGGAATGGGAAGATTATATTGCAGTTGGGCTCTAATTTTTGAAGAAAGACCCATGCTTGGGAATAGAGTGGGTATTATGAGATGCAGAAAAAAAAAAGCAAGTTAAATTATGCAGTGAGAAAGTAAAGGTGTTTGGAGACTGATCTTGGCCGATAAAGTATCCTTGGAGATGTTTGCTGACAAGATGGTGGAATTTTCCAGCATAAACTAGAGTAGCAGGTACACCCGTGGATGCAAATGCTAGTAAATTCCCACCAGATCAACCAGTGAAGGCTAATAAAATTCTCTTCCAGTTATCAACAAATAAACCATTTGCTCTTTTCCCTTAAGGGAAGGCCTTTTCTCCAGTCTCTTAGGAACCTCATTGACTTTAATGTAAGAATTTAGTTCACTTTTTAATTGCGCTTATGGCTGGCCCTTAGGATACTAATTAGTTATTTAAGATTATGGTGTTTGGTCTACCAGACACATCTCAGAGTTTAATCAGAAGCTACTATATTCATAATTTCATGAATGCTTAGTGGAGTCAATGATTCCTGCGTCCCAAGCACACAGGAGACTCTGCAATGAATGCCCATTACTCCAACTCAAACATCCATGTGTTCTGCATTAGCCAATGCCATTTAACAAATGTCAATGCAAACATATAATTAATTTGACCTAATGTGGGACTGCAATTTCCAGTGTACTTGAAGAATTATATGTGTGTCAAATATAGTTGCTAATGTTGAACTAAAAAAAATGAAGACAGCTTTACTGAGGAAATCCACATTAACTATTAACTAGAGGACAAAAATAGTTCACTGCAATAGAGAAATGTGATTATAGTTCTCTTAAATAAAATATTATTTATATCATATTTGTTAATTTTATCTAATTTTTTCGACAGATCAATATAGAAAAATGTTAACAGCTGTCAAGTGATTTTTAGAGATTCTCTTAAAATGAATTTTTAACATTTTCTTGAAAAGGAAATCTATAATAAATGTGTGAAGCTATTTTTAGGGAACGTTTTAGAGCTAAGTAAGATCTTAACTCACAGAATAATTTTCAAGTGGAAGCTTGGCCTGGTGGTGGGAAGGATGTTAATTAGCTGACTTATCTGTGGGACATTCCAGAGGTCAGTGATGAACTGTCGCCTCAGTCTCTTATAGAACAAAATTCAATCTAAGAGGGTTGACGATTTAATGAATATTTCTGGGACTTTAGGCAATAATTAATTTTTCCAATTCCTCTAAATCCCATGCAATCATCCATCACTATATAATTTAACCAGACCCAGAATTTAAATCATATCTTTGCTATGAGCAAGAATTCCTGAGTATAAATCAACAAACATATGTCAGGTCTCAATGTTTAAAATATCAATAGGAGAAGAGCTGGACTTGTAGGTTGAGGGGAGAGGTACAGATACTTCAGAGGATATTATTATTATTAATTATTTTACCTGGAGCCTGTAATTATCCGGCACAGCACTTTGCACATGTGTTACTCAGGAAGTGTTTTTGAGTTGATTGATTTGAATGAATTACCTGAATGACTTTGTAAAAATAGCTTGCCTTCTCTGGATTTATTTTTGCACATGATATAAGACACTTCTTAAATTATTTTATTTATTTATTTATTTATGCATACAAGAACTGGAGTGTAGGCCAGAGATGCAGGGGGTGAGAGGATTCACCAGAGACAGAGTGGGGAGCAGAACAGGTGGACTACTGTAAGATACTGCTGAGGGGAGCAGTGGTCAAGACAAGAGAGGTCTGTTGTGCCATGTGTGTCAGGTATCGAACTCCTGCTACAGTGGCTGGTGATAGCTTGATAGTGCTGAGACTTAGCCTCTGCACCACTAAGGAGGCCCTGATACAAGACATTTTTATAACATGGCAGAAGACATTGCCAGTATTTTTTTTTTAAAGATTTATTTATTTATGCATACAACAGCTGGGGTACAGGCCAGAGATGCGGGCGGTGAGAGGATCCACCAGAGACAGAGTGGGGAGCAGAACAGATGGACTGACTGAAACGCACTGCTGAGGGGAGCAGCTGGCAAGGAAGGAGAGGTCTGCTGCGCCATGTGGTTTGCTCCCTGGCCGGCCAGGGGTCGAACTCGTGCTGCAGAGGCTGCGGATTGACTCATAGTGCAACACCTTGCGCCACCAGGGAGGCCCCCAAGACACTTTTAAACTTGAAATTAAATCAGAAATAGGAATCAGAAGATCTGAATTGAAACCCTGGATGGATGTGTGATTTACCTGCTATATGCTCTTGAAGGACTTCTTTAATATATGCTAAATTCTGGTCAGCAGTGCTTCCTTCCCTTTGCTGTGAGAACTAAATGAGCCACATGACACCAAAGTGTTTCCATAAGATGCTTGGCATTTAGTATAAATGTCTTAGACACTAGTAGACCCCTCTCAGCTGCAATATTCTGTAACCGATTTCCACTTAGAATTTGAACTCGGAGAGAAACAAATAGCTTTAGAATATTATTCCCTTTCTCTTCTGTAAGAACTACATGGCATTTTCTAACTGTTGATTTACTTGCTTTTAAATGAAGACACAGATATATATTTTCTTTTTGAAAGATGGAATGGAGAAAGTTTCATTTCCCTTTCCTTTCTGAGAATTCCTTTATCTTTCAAATTGTTACAAAGTTCTACCTGTTGGGGACTGCTCCTGGACAGAATCTGAGAGCTAGGTGGTCCTGGCAAAGATTTCAAGTGGTTGTTTCCACTCTTACTGGCCTTAACTCCTTTAATAACCTCTTATTACATTCATGCTCCAATGTCCTTCTCACAACACTGCTATGAGGTGAGAGAAATTGTAGGAGGGAGAGGGATCAGAGGGAGGGAGGGAGGAGCACAGGGGACTGAGGTGATGGTGCACGGGTGCCTTGGGGAAGGAAATTCTATGGGGACTACACCTGAGGGGGTGGGGGGAAGAAAATATTGTCTAGAAAAATGTAAAAAAATTGATAAATGTTAAAATAAAAAAAAATTAAAAAACTAAAAAAAGTCAATGTTATTAAAAAAAGTTATTAAAAAAATAAAAAAGTTTTTCTAAACTCATATGATGAATTACAGACAAATTAAAAAAAAATATGTGTCGTCCAGTGTCCTTATGAACTATATCACTAGATGAAATGGAAAAAAAATTCAATATAATCTCAATATCATCATCCAAAATTTAATATTAGATGGTCTTTTCAAATAACTGAACCTTGTTTTACATACACAAATATGTAAATATATTTGTGTGTAAATATAAATGCATATGTATATCTAGGTCTGGATTGATATGAGCTACAGAATGTATGTTCATACTTAATTGTTCATATGGCCCTTTTCAAAAATAACAAAGCTCAGGTAGAGGGAAAAAATAGAGTTAGATTCATTACTAAGGTGCATAAGTGTACACTGGAAAAAAAACCACCTTTTTATGCTTTTACTTTTTATAGGTAATATATACTGTCCTTAACTTTTCTGAAACTCACTTTTCTCACTTAAAAAATTGGGACAACACTGACAGGACTCAGGGAGGTATGTGCACAGTGTCTAACAAAATGTGAGCATACAGTAGGTGGTAGACCAAATGCTAGTCTTTCCCATATTAATTTAAACATTTTTTAAAGATTTATTTATTTATACAAAAACTGGGGCACAGTCAGAGGTGCGTGAGGGTGAGAGAATTCACCAGAGACAGTAGGTTGCAGAACAGGCAGAAAGACCGAAGACACTGCTGAAGAGAGCAGCGGGTGAGACAGGAGAGGTCTGCTGTGCCATGTGGGACCCTCACTGGCTGGCCAGGATTGAACCAGTGCTACAGAGACTGTGGACAACTTCACAGCACTGTGCTCAACTGCCTGTGTCACCAGGGAGGCCCTAATTTAAACTTTTTAAATGAGGAAGCATGGCACAGAGTAAAAAATGAAGAATGAAAATGAAAAGTGTGATAAATTATTACTGAATGAGCCACTAATGTTAAGAAACAGAATGCTGCAACACACCAGAAACCTTTGTTACATCATCTCTGAGGTATCAGTTTTCCCTTCTCTTCTGCAGTGACCTTTATCCTGAATTCTAATACTTGAATAAATTTCTCTGATTTTGAACTTTATAGATTATAATCATACAGTACATGTTATTTTGTGTCTTGCTTCTTTCACTCAGTAAGAGTAAACAGGGGCTATCCATGTTTTGTGTTGCTACATTTCATTCATTTTCATTGCTGCATAGTATTCTCCTCCTGTACACATCACCTACCATTCATTCATCTAATCTCATGTTGAAGGACTTACAGTTGTTTATGGTTTAAGGTTATCATGAGCATGCTGCTATAACCCTTCCCAGATACCTGACTGTTCCTGCATGTAAGTACTCTCTGGTTGTGCCTATTGGCATAGCATGTTTTATTACTTTATTACATAATGCTTGGCAGATACTATGTTTTTAATAAATTGGAAGTTAGTGGCAACCCTGCATCAAGCAAGTTTATCAACACAATTTTCCAACAGCATGTGCTCATTTTAGGCTCTCTGTCACATTTTCGTAATCCTAGCAATCGTTCAAAGTTTTTCACTTGATATTGATATTGAAAACTTTTTGATATTATAAGTTTCTGGAGAGTCACAGACCAAGCCTATTTAAGAAGGCAAATTTGATTTATAAATGTTGTGTGTGTTCTTACCGCTACATCAGCCAGCTGTTTTCCCCAGCTTTCTCTTTCTCCTGGGTTCCCCTATTCCTGAAACACAACAATATTGAAGTTATGTCAATGACTAACCCTACAATGGCCTCTAAGTGTTCAAGTGAAAGGATGAGTCAGACTTTTTTCACTTTAAATCAAAAGCTAGAAATGATTATGTTTAGCGAGGAAGAGCCTGTCAAAAGCTGAGATAGGTCAAAAGCTAGGGCTCTTACCCTAGTTAGTCATGCTGTGAATACAAAGGAAAAATTCTTGAAGCAAATTAAAAATGTTTTTTCAGTGAACACACAAGTAAAACAAGGAGAATATTCCAGTGGTCTAAATAGATTTCTGACATGAAGAAAGTTCTAGTGGTCTAAATAGAAGGTCACACCAATCATCACATTCCCTTAAGCCAAAGCCTAATCCAGAGAGTCCCTAACTCAATTTTTTTTAAAGATTTATCTATTTATGCATACAAGAGCTGGGATACAGGCCAGAGACGCGGAGGGTGAGAGGATTCACCAGAGACAGAGTGGGGAACAGAACAGGCAGATCAACAGAAGTACACTGCTGAGGGGAGCAGCAGGTGAGTCAGGAGAGGCTGCTTCGCCATGTGGGTTGCTCCCTGACCAGCCAGGGATGGAACTTGTTTTACAGCAGCGGCGTATTGCCTCATAGTACGGTGCTTAACCCCTTGCACCATGAGGGAGCCCCCCCCAACTCTAAATTTAATGAAAATTGAGAGAGATGAAAAAACTGCAGAAGAAAAGTTTGAAACTAGAAAAGGTTGGTTATTGAGGTTTAAGAAAAGGAGCTGTCTCTGTAACATGAAGGGGCCAGGTGAAACAGTATGTGCTGACTGAGAAGCTATAACAGTTGTCCAGAAGGTCCTGATAAGATGATTGGTGGTGACTACATGAAATGACACATTGCCAATGTAGACAAAACAGCCCTCTATTAGGAGATGCCACCTAGGACCTTGGTAGCTAAAGAGAAGCCATTGCTTCTCTCTAACTCTTTGAAGAACAGGCTCATTCTCTTTTTAGATACTAATGCAACTGGTGACTTGAAGCCCAGTCAGTGCTCAGTTACCATTCAGAAAAGCCTGGGGCCCTTAAGAATTATGCTATATTTACTATGCTCTGTAAACGGAACCACAAAGCCCAGTGACAGCTTATCTGTTTACAACATGTTTAGTGAATAGTCTAATCCCACTATTGAGAAAGGCTGGACAAAAAAAAAGTCCTTACAAAAGATTACTCTCATTCACAAGGCACCCGGTCACCTAAGAACACTGAGGATATAGTTAAGGAGATTTAAGTTATTTTCATTCCTGCTGACCCAAAATCTATTCTGCAGCACACAGATCAAGGAGCAATTTTGACTTCTAAGTGTTTTTTAAGGAATACATTTTGTAAAGCTATAGCTTCCCTTGAGCATGATGGTGGCTCATGGATCTAAGCGAAGTCAGTTGAATGCCCCCTGGGAAGGATTTGCCATTCTAGATGACATTAGGACATTTGGGCTCCATGGGAGAACATTTCAGCATTAACAGGACTTTGGAAGAAGTTGATTCCTCCCACCTACATGGGTGACTTAGTGGAGGGAGTCACTGCAGATGTCGTAGGAATAATAAATGAACTAGATTTAGAAGTGGCGGCTGAAGATGACACACAAATTATACAATGACATGATAAAACATGAGTGGATGGGGGGGTGCTTCTTACTGATGAGCAACGAAAGTCGTTTCTTCCTATGGTATCTCCAGAGAGTGAAGATGCTGTGAATGTTGTTGAAACAGAGGTGTTGGAATATTACATAAACTTATTTGATAAAGCAGCGACAGGGCTTGAGAGGCATGACTCTGCTTTTGAAAGAAGTTATACTGTGGGTAAAATGCTACCAAACAGCATCACAGGCTATAGAGAATTTTTTCCTGAATTTAATTTAATTGTTGTCTTACACCAAACTTCAGCAACTACCACGCCAACCAGTCAGCAGCCACCAACATCAAGACAAGACCTTCCACCAGCAAAAGAAATAAAATGTTTTTAATTAAAACATGAGTGCTGTGTTTTTTAGACTTAAAGCTATTGCATGCTTAGTAGATTACAGTATAAACATAACTGTTATTTGCACTGGGAAACCATATATCCACATGACTGACTCCATTGTGATGTCCACTCTATTGCTTGTGGTCTGGAAGCAAACACATTCTCGCCAAGGTATGCCTGCCTATGTAGGCCTAGCACTGTTGGTCAACTAGCTACACCTCATCAACCATGGCAGATAATAAATGAAACTGTTTTCCCAAGTAGTTAATAAGATACCCTCTCCCAGCAGCTTACAAGAATTCATTGTTCTACTTCCTAACCAACACTTGCTACTGTAGATCTTTTATTTTTTTTTTTTTTTTATAAATTTTATTGTTATATTCCCCATACAATTGCCGCCCCCCATTCTGACCCCAATCCCTCCCCTCCCGCCCCCGCCCCCCTAAAAGTGTCTCTGGTTCATAGTTTTTTGTTGATTTTGATTTTCACTTTCTTATAGTTTTTCATTTTCCTGGTCCCTTATTTAAGTTTTCTAGATTCCTGCTATGAGTGAGACCATCCGGTATTTTTCTTTTTCTTTTTGGCTTATTTCGCTGAGCATGATCCCTTCCAGCGCCATCCATGTTGCAGCAAATTGCATGTGTTTATCTTTTTTGAATGCTGAGTAATATTCCATGGTATATATGTACCACATCTTCTTGATCCAGTCATCTATTTTTGGGCATTTGGGTTGTTTCCAAAGCTTAGCTATTGTAAACAGTGCTGCTATAAACATAGGGGTGCAGGTGTTCTTTGGAATTGATGTTTCTGTGTCCTTTGGGTAAATACCTAGGAGTGGAATTGCTGGGTCATATGGAAGCTCTATGTTTAGTAGGTCCAGAAATCTCCACACAGCTTTCCACAGTGGTTGGACCAGTTTGCACTCCCACCAACAGTGCAGAAGAGTTCCTTTTTCTCCACACCCTCGCCAACATTTGTTGTTGCTAGTTTTTTTAATATGTGCCATTCTCACTGGTGTAAGATGGTATCTCATGGTAGTTTTGATTTGCATTTCCCTGATGACAAGTGATGTTGAACATTTTTTCATATGCCTGTTGGCCATTTGCATTTCCTCTTCAGAGAAGTTTCTTTTAAGCTCTTCTGCCCATTTTTTGACTGGATTATTTTCTTTGTTGTTGTTGAGTCTCATCAGCTCTTTGCAGATTTTTGTGATCAGTCCTTTATCATTAGTGTTGGGTGCAAAAATGTTCTCCCAGTTGGTGGGGTTTCTCTTTGTTTTTGTTATTGTCTCTTTTGCTGTGCAAAAGCTCTTTAATTTGATATAGTCCCAGCTGTTTATCTTTGCCTTCACTATCACTGCTTTGGGTGATGTGTCTGTAAAGATGTCTTTGATGTGCAAATCACGTAGTGTTTCGCCTATATTTCCTTCTATATATTTTATGGTTTCAGGTCTTATGTCTAGTTCTTTAATCCATTTTGAGTTGATTTTTGTGTATGGTGTGAGGTGGTGGTCAAGCTTCATTCTTTTGCATGTAGCGACCCAGTTTTCCCAGCACCATTTATTGAACAAACTTTCTTTGCTCCAATGCATAGATCTTTTAAACTTGAGTCTTGCTGCTAGGTTTGTGCTGTTCTCACATGGTGGTTTCAATTTGCATTTCCTGAAAACTAAGGAAGGAGAGCATCCTTTCACATGTTGATCAATATGATCTGAGTGTTTTTGTCCCCCTAAAATGTATATATTGGAACCCTAATCCCCATTGTGATGGTATTTGAATTTGGGAGGTAACTTTGGGAGATGATTAAGTTTAAATGAGATCCTGATAGGGAGACTCATCCCAGCATGAGTGTCCTTATAAGAAAAGGAAGAAATCAGAGCTTGCTCTCTCTGTCATGTGAGGACACAGTGAGAAGGCGGTTGTCTGCAAGCCAGGAAGAGAGCTGTCACCAGAAACGAAATTGACTAGCACCTGGATCTTGGACTTTGCAGCCTCTGGAACTGTGAGAAGTAAATGTCTATTTTTGACACCACCCAGTCTATGGTATTTTGGTACACAAACTAACACACTTGGATATCCTCTTGCAATGTGCTTGTTGGAGAATTTTTTGTTCATTTTCTTATTCAGCTGTGTTTTCTTTTTTTTTTTTTAAGATTTATTTATTTATGCATACAAGAACTGGGGTACAGGCCAGAGGTGTTGGGGGGGGGTGAGAGGATTCACCAGAGACAGAGTGGGGAACAGAGCAGGCAGATTGACTGAAATACACTGCTGAGGGGGGCAGTGGGCGAATCAGGAGAGGTCTGCTGCACCATATGGGCAGCTCCCTGGCCGGGGATCGAACTCATGATGAAGTGGCTGCAGATAGCTTCATAGGTTGTGTCCCAACCCCTTGCACCACCAGGGAGGTCACAGTTGTGTTTTCTTAAGGATTTATGAATTATCCTTTATGTGTATTGGTTACAAGCCTTTGTCTGTTTGCTTATATGTTTTGTTGATATATGATCTCATTCTGTGACTTGTCTTTTAACTCTCTTAAAGACACCTATGTTGAACTGAAGTTCATATTTTAATGAAGTCCAACTTATCACTGTTTGCCTTTGTGGTTAGTGCTTTTTGTGATTCAAAACAACATTTAATACCCCATTGTCATAAAGATGTGATTCATGGTATCTTTTAGAAGCGTTATTGTTTAGGTTTCATATATATGGTCCACCTGGCACTGATTTCTGTGAATGATATGAATTAAGGTCTAATGAGTCTACTTAAGATGGTCATAACAAAATACTACAGATGGGGAGAAGTTTAAGGTCAAGGTATGCACAGGGTTTGTTTCTTCTGAGGTCTCTCTCCTCGGCTTGCACATGGTTATCTTCTCCTATGATCTTCACGTGGTCCTGCTTAGTATATGTCTTATAAGGGTGCCAGTCAAACTGGATTAAAGCCACCCCCACCCTACTGATAATTTTAAACTCAATTACCTCTTTAAAGACTCTATTTCCAA